GAGAGAGAGAGAGAGAGAGAGAGAGAGAGAGAGAGAGAGAAAGAGAGAGCGAGAGAGCGTAGGGGTGTGTGTGTGTGCATGTGTTGGAGGGGAGGGGGTCTGTTAATACTCCGGCTTCAAAAACCAAGCCGTAGTGGGAGGCCCAGGACGCCTTATGCAGGCAAAGCTCCTGCGGGGATCAGTTGGGAGTGTTGCCTGAGCAAGCCCACACGATGGCTGCGCAGAGGATGCTGGTGGTTGTGGACTCCCAGCTGTCTCCATGTTGGAGACACTGCCTTGCAGGAAACCCCCGAAGTCTCCCTCTTGGGGGATTAGAGTGAACGGGGGGGGGGAGTCGATTACCGTAAAGCGATCAGATGTTGCCCCAGCCCAAGATTTAAATCGACTCTTTTGGCTCTCCTGCTAGTCTCCTGTGACCATCCGATGGGGACGGGATGGGCGTAGTCACAGACCCTTCTCTCACCAGGGAGAAAGGGACGGGAAAACGGAGAAGGGGTACGGGTTGCGCCTCTGGAGTTTTGCGGTTACAAGACTCAGAGTAGAGAAACTGGCGCTCATCTTCTAGCAATTGCTCTGGAAAGGCCCAGTCAAAGAATTGCAACTAAAAATGAGTAAGCTGCCATTTCAGACTTTGTGCCTCCAGTCTTCTAATCAAAATAGTGTCACACCAAGACACTACATTATGATCTGCTTTCAGAGTAATGGGAGTTGGAGATGCCCCTTAAACTTTCCTACTTTTAATGTGTAAGGGAGGCACCTTTCTCTTTGATTAAAGCAACTTGGTCCTACGGTACATCATTTAATCTTATCAAAATCCCATGCTAAACAGACAAAATTCCTTCAGACAATGGCAGATCTGACCGCACCAGGCTCAGACGCAGAAATTGGCTTCGAATGAGTAGTGATGGAGAAGGTACCACGAGAATGCAGCACAAAACTGTGCGATTGGCTTCATCTGGTATTTCAGAGGCTGGGGCAAACCGAAAACAACCTAGATGCAAATTAAGTACTGCACACTGTGTTAGATTTCTAAATTTTATTATAAAATAAAAGCAGAAATATTTCCCAAAGAACGTATTCACATAATATAAACAATAAACAAAACTAAAGTCGAGTGACTCGCGGTTGATACTGTCGTTTAGGTCTAACAATGAGCAGCAATTTTTTAAGGCCCCCGTCTGCCCCCGTTTGAGGTCGATGGGATAATTTAACATTGACTTCAACTGGGGTGAGGATCGGGCCATTAGTTCATTTCCCACCCAACAAATGGCGAAAGCACCACACGGACAAGGCGAAAGAAGCTGGCTCTCTGCACAGCGTCAGCTACAAGGAAGTTACAGAGTCTACCTAGAGCGCGTGTTGCTGCTATAACTTGACTAAAACGGTTGTATTCTTAGTTGTAATTGTTTGTACACCTGCCACGGATATATAACTACACAATAGGATAACGGGAGCGATGGGTGTCTTCCAAGGAGGCATGTAAACAGCAACCTTACGCTCCCCCCAAATACAAGGTGTCTTATCATACACAGACAAGACTGCTCAATTAAAATTCCAAGAGCTTTGTGAAGTTAAGGTTGGAAAAAATAGTTGCTACATAGAACCATATTAGCATTATGCTTAAATCACAAGTCCTATCGAACAGTCCACATGTCTGAAACCAGCTTTGCACAACCCTTAAGACTTTTGTCACAACAGAACTGCATACAGTCTAGTACAGTACCTTCCAAACAGCTACAGCCAGCCAGCCATCCAAAGAGGGACAACAGATCCACTAATGAGTGTGTCATCACTTTAAAAGTTTCAAATGAGATTAAAAAAAAACCGAAGGGGTGTGGTGAGGGGAGCGTGTAAATAGTTTTAAGAGCCAAGGTCGACCAAGTTTGAGGACATGGGGTTGAGAATGGAGTCCTGCAAACTATGATGGTGCATAGGGTCCGCACTGGGTACCGGAATGGCGCTAGGACCTTGGGGGTGACCCAAGCCATGGAGCGGCTGTAGGCCTGGGTTCGAATTGAGCAGTAAAGCTGGGCTGGAAGAAGTGTGATCAGGGGTCCCTGACGGCGTCTTCTCGTCTTCTGAGCTGCCCAAAACTGTCTTATTCCCGTTCATTGACGCTGAGAGAGGATTGTGGCTGTTGGAGTTGGAATTCTCGTTGTTTTCCCTATAGGAAATATAAAAGGGAGGGAGATCTTAGAGTGGAGTGGATACAGCACTGAGTAACACTGGAGCTAGACAGGCAGCTGCAGGGACTGCAGGATGTGGGCTCATAGGGAAGACAACTGGAGGGTAACTGAAACATACAGTCCGTTTACAAACTCTGCAAACCTTAAAGGCCTCTTCGTCTGGCACAAAGGTCTAAGGTCTGCAGAGCTTGTAAACAGAGTTTTCCACTAGCCCTGCAGAAAGTGTGACTTTGACAAAACGTCATTTTCTCCATCCATCTCCTGCAAAGTGTTTGGATAGCTTTGGGGGGGGGACGGGGCAAGGAAAGAAAAAAAAGGGGGGCATTTCACTTTAAAATCACCCCGGGAGACAGTACTTATACAAGAAGAATTTCATCCACGCCTTCTCCTGGAGAGGCAAACAAACTCAATTTGTGTTCTCATTAGTCTACGCAGATCAGCCTTAAATGGTTGGGTCATCCGGATAAGTCTTGGTTTTGATAAAATAACTCGACACCTCGACTCCGTTTTTCCTCAGGAAGTTTAAACCCGAAAACGTATCCCAAGCATGTGTAAAAGAAGGAAAGCGAACAGAATTAACGTGCTTATTTCCTGAGTCCTACAAGGAAATGTCCCTCGTAATTACATTCCTCTCTTTCTTTTATTGGTCTATATTAGACTGAGAGCGCAAATATACTGACACATAATGGGAGCCAAATTTTGCTCTGCTTAGCCAAAAGAATAATCTCTTTATAAAAGAGACATAACATTATCTCAAATACATACATACAGAGAGAGAGAGAGAGAGAGAGAGAGAGAGAGAGAGAGAGAGAGAGAGAGAGAGAGAGAGTAGAG